TTATCTTAAATAATTCTCCTTCATTTTGTCTTCATTTTAACTACGAGAACATACATGTACTTTTCTCTGTTGTTTTATGTCTTTTTTTTTTTGCTTTGTCATCTTTCAGTCTTTCCTGGCTGGAATCTTCTGTCTTTCTCTTTCTTCCAGCAACCCCATCTGACTTTGTGCTTTGTGAAGTAGGTTTGAACTCCTGAGGTTGTGGATTAGTAAAGTGGAAGTAGAGATTTTGGAAGGGCATGTGCCAAATGCTGTGGAAACAAGGCGACTGTGATTGGCTTCTCACCAGCTTTGGCGTATGATTGAGCACATACTCCTATTCCACTGAATCCCAACCATTCCCCTTGTTCATATTTTTGTATCAGATACTGAATGCTATTTTAGTATATCCATTCACAAGGGACAAGTATGTTCAAAAGCTCCTGGGGAAGACGTAGTCTGGGCTGCCTAGAGAATTCCTTCCAAAACAAGACTTTCTCCTTTGGTTTCTTACACAGAGCTCAAAATGTAGAGGCACAAAATGGCTCAAAAGCCACAAGAAGTAATGATTGCAAAGGATGAGGTAATGCTGCCACAGTGTGTCGTTGCAGTGGGAGAATTTGTCTCCTGAGCCTCCCTGTCAGCATACTCTGCTTTTCTGGGCCCTATCTCAAATTTAGTCCATTGTCTTCACCACTTGCTGACGTTGAGCGCTTCTCCTTCCATCTGCCTCTCTGCAGGCCTTTTTCCTTATTACTTCTAGATACAAAAGTATAATTTGTATAAAGAAAATCATTTTTATTCTAAGTAATAATTCTAGCAATAATTTCCTATAATTATTTCATAAACTTCCCTCTCTATAGAAATGCATACAGAACATTTCACAAAATTGATGTACCTCGAATGTTGCATTTTCTATCAAAGGTAAAATTTAAAAAATTTAAAAAGCTTTTGGTGTATTTTCATATCAAATGTTTTTTTAAATTGATCTTGTCATTACTTGGAGAAAAATGCCATCAATGGTAGTCAGACCATCTGTCATTTTCCCTGCTTTCTGATTTCTTGGTGTTCTACACCAACATGGAAAACGTCCCAAATTGTTACAAATGAAATTATTACTTTATTAAAGTTAGGAAGGACCTGTTATAGGTCACAGGCTCTTTGTAGTCTACAGGAATAAAACTCCAGGACACAAAGGAGTCTTTTTCTTTAAGCCTCTCCTAGGAACTGTGTAGCACTCTGGTGAATAAAACCTGTTGCTGTATAGAGCATGTCTTTGCTGTGATTTAGAAAAGATGCTATGCCAAGATCTCGGGGGCTTAACCAGTCTGTGACAGCCTTTCAGTGTTCTGTTCTCCAAAAGATGTTTCCTTGTCCTTCTGTCTTAATTACTGGGGGGCAAAATGCCATCATATTCAAAATAATGAGCATGTGCCTACAGAAATCGCTAGGAGGCTTTTGGTTGAAACAAAGCCTGGGTGAGTGCTTTGTTTGTTTTTGCATTGAAGGTGGATGCACTCAGTGCTGGCTTTTGGTATAGCTGCCCTCTGTGCCTGTAGAATCCAGTCCTCACACTGACCTCATGTGGATGGTGCTGTTACCCCCATTCCACAGATGAAGAAAGCAACAAAATAACCTACCAATTTGGGCAGGACCTGAAAGCCATTTCTAAACCCAGGAAATGTCTCCCTTGGAGCCTGCCCTCTTAACCACTGTACTCTGTGCTCTCCTTGAAGACATCAAGATGGCACAGACTGACAAAACCCCCTTTTGCCAGGCAGAAGGTAGTCTTCAGCACACGAGATCTCAATCAGATTAGTGAATATCATGCTCCTCAAATAGAAAGGCCTTCAAGCTGTTATTTGATAGAATATTTGATTACTAAGGAGACAAGTCAGACAGTTGTGACTGTTAACTTTCTTAGGAAACTCCTCTGCTGAGAAGAGGAAATGGGCTGCTTCTCTCTTGCTGGCCTCACTGTATAGACATCTAGAAGGTGTCACCGACCCCTCCGGTCTTACTCTCCTGGGCACTGGCAAAACAAAAACAGCTTCTTAGACACAGGTCAGGAGTCTCAGTCTAAGGACTTGTTAAGTCTTAAGTGTTCACACTTATGAACCAAAGCATGACTGTGTAAGGCAGTTGCAGAATTTGTAGCTTCAGTTACTCCCCTAGAAGTGAGGAGGATGGACTTTGCCCATGTCCTGTCTGAACCCATTTCACCTAAGATGCACCTGTGTGTGTTTGAGTCACATAGTCTCTGAACACTGAGCGAGCGATGTCCTCTGGCTAGGGAGAGGCTAAGTCTACCGCAGAATATCGGAGAGCTCACTCGGAAATCGGCCATCTTCCCAAAGCAGCATCTTCAGTCACAAGCTTGGGTTTGTAGATTCTGCTATAGATGTTATAATGGCCTCTGTTGTGGAAATATTCACTTTTTGTCCTCTTTCTATAGCTGGATTATTGCAGTTCTCAAACTGAACTCAAAACAGATGGCTTAATTTGATGAAACTATTAGCCTGCCAGAAGTTCCTCTTGATTCTATTTCACTTTGGTTATTGGGATGGTAGCTGGGTGTCCCCTTCCGAGTTATTTCATTTTACAACTGGCCTGAGGGAGAGGGACCTGCTGATGCTAATTTATACATATTTTTCAGAATTATTCAGAAGTGAGCTGGAACGGTTCTCTTATTTGAGTTTTCCAATATGTGTCAGTAGAGGAAAATTCCATCTTCAAAGGAGTTTGACAATTTTTTTTTTCTTTCCTGTGGGAGCTTCAGACCCTTTAATGTAGTAGGAATCCTGACCCTCTAAGGCGACCTCATATTTTCCAAACGTATTTGGCCCTAGAATCCTTTTGTGAGAACACACTGTGGATCAGGTGTTTGTTGGAAGCACCTAGAGGGTCAGAACAGAGATCATGAATCTTGACTGCAAAGCCCGCCTCTACTGCCTGCTGAGGTCTTACAAGGGGAGCTTCACCTCTGTGTTACCTCTGTTCCATCTGTACGGATCATCCCTTCTCTAAAGCATTGCTATGGAAACTGATTGAATACATACACATTATGAAGCTTAGTAGGCTAGCTACTGTTAACCATATTTATTCAGTCTGCTACTTAATAATGGTATAAGCCTCCACGCACACCTACAGTGTAAATTACAGAAGTCTCTGAGTTTGGGGAAAAACTGAACCACATTTCCAGTGTAAATCATCTGTCTAGTCAGTATGGCCACAATTTGAAATCAAAATGAAAATGTTGACTTTGAGTAACTGGAGGTAAAATAATAGAAACAGGGAAGAGGGAACAGTGGCAAGAATTATTCTTGTATTCACCTAATTTGGGCTTTGGACTAGGTTGACAGAAAATGTGATGAGTAGTCTATAATAGCAGACATCGAACAGCCATCTTCCTGGAGGTACACGATGAGAATGAAGTTGGTGATAGTGTCTAGCTTAGAAAGGACGAGAGAAAAGTCAGACCAGAAGTGGCATAGGCAGTAAATGAAAGTAATCACTGAAAAGAGTAAAACAAATGTCCCTTCCTATTTAGTTGTTGTTTCAAGCAAAAACAAAGAGTCTCTGTTTTCCAGCGGTTCACAGTCAAAGGGCTAGGTAGTGACAAAAGTGGAGCAACCCGTTGCAGAATCTAAAGAAAGTAAAAAACGAGCAATACAGGAATCTTGGCTGCGAGGAGACCCTCTTCCCTGCCGACCCGGCTGTGCGCAGCCTGGTGCTCCTGGCGAAGGTGTGCTGCCATGTGCGTGTGCACCCAATGCCGCAGGGAAGACGGCCATTCCGGAGGATTCCACCTGGGAGGCTGTGAGCCAGCTGCACCCAGTGGGAAAGCCTCCCTCCGCAGCCTGTCCTTCAACAGACCTGTGCAGAGCGCCTACAGAAAGCAGAGACCGTAAATCACTGTTGTCACGGCGCACACTCCACCTCCTGCCTCCGCTCCCAGCAGCCGGCCTCATTTCCACACCCCTCCACAGTTCGGGCAGAGCTCGTGGTCTAAGTAACGAGAGGACTTCTGACTGTAATCCTAGCACGTCACTTTGTTGAAGGCAAACACGTGGTCCGGAGAGAACTTATAAATCTCCCCTCCCCAGCATGTTCGTGATGTTATCTGCTGGCAGCAGAAGGTTCGCAGGGAGTGGAGCGGAGCTCCAGAAGCTCCCGACAAGACAGAGAAATAGCAGGAAGGAGAGCGAGCGAGCGAGTGAGAGCAGAGCAAGAGTGCAAGTCCCAGAGGCAGGGAGAGGGATGGAAAACGTCGGTGTAACGGTTTAAGGAGCCGTTCGAGGACAGACAGGGGCTTCCCGGCTGCAGAAAGGAGCAAGGAGGGTCTACTTCAGGGTGCAAGTGCCTACCTCCCCCAGGCGAGAGGGTCTTAGTGCAAAAGAAACCAGGAGACGTTAGAAAAGGGTGGGAGTCCAAGGAAGCCCCTACGCGACCCTCAGGAATAAACCCCCCAAGCCAACGTGTCCCGGGGCTGCTGTTGTGGTCCGCAGGGGGTGCAAGCGGTAGCGGCGGCGGCGGCTGCGGCTGATCTTCTGGTGCGGGGTTGGCTTCTGGAGCAAGAGGAGAAGGAGGAGCAGAAGGAGGAGCAGAAGGAGGGAGCTGGAGGCTGGAAGCGTTTGCTGGCGGCGGCAGCGGCGGCTGCGGCGGCGGCGGCAGCAGCAGCAACGTGGAGTAAGCCAGCGGCCGAGTGCAGGCCACAGCGCGCAGCTCCGGGAGCAGGATCGTCGCCCCTCCGCAGCGTCCGCGGCTCCTGGAGCACTGGATCGCGTCCCGGGAGCCGTGCGAAGCGCATCCGCCTCCTGTCGCGGCGCACCAGGCTGGTCCCCAGAGCGCGCAGAGACGCGCGCGCGCGCACACGCACACACACACACTCATACACACACGTGTGCGCTCTTCTGCCCCTGCTCTCAGCGCCAGTGGAAGACACGGCCGAACCGCTCTCTCTAGATATATCAGTTACAGCCCGGGTCAGTCTCGGCGGTCCCCTGCCCAGCGCTCCCGGCGCCCCTCCCCTCTGGCCTGGCAGCTGCCAGCCCCGGGACCTTTTCATCTCTTTCCTTTTGGCCAGAGGATCCGAGTTCAGATCCGCCACTCGGCACCGCGACTGACACACTGCCTTACAGCCATTCACCCTTTCCACCCCTCTCCTTCCGTTTCGTCGCTCCAAGAAAAAAAAAAAATTTTTTTTTTCTTCCCAAATTCAGGGCTCCCCACTTTCCCTCCCTTATTATTTGTCCAGTTTGGGAACGACTTGTATTCTCTTTTTTGAAAGAATTCAAGCAAGATACATTTTCCATCGGGCATCAACCCTTGATTGTTTGCAAAAGTTTCGCATTAACAAACAACTCCACCTGATCTGCACTTTGAGAATTGTCGTTTTCTTCTTTTTTTTTTTAGAACTTTTTTTCTAGGTTTTTTTTTTTTTTTTTTTTTTTTTTTTTTGAAAAATGCACTACTGTGTGCTGAGCGCTTTTCTGATCCTGCATCTGGTCACGGTTGCGCTCAGCCTGTCTACCTGCAGCACACTCGATATGGACCAGTTCATGCGCAAGAGGATCGAGGCGATCCGCGGGCAGATCCTGAGCAAGCTGAAACTCACCAGCCCCCCAGAAGACTATCCCGAGCCGGAGGAAGTACCCCCGGAGGTGATTTCCATCTACAACAGCACCAGGGACTTGCTCCAGGAGAAGGCGAGCCGGAGGGCAGCCGCCTGCGAACGCGAGAGGAGCGACGAGGAGTACTACGCCAAGGAAGTCTACAAGATAGACACGTCCTACTTCCCCTCCGAAAGTAAGTGCCGAGTCTCGCTCGCTTCCCAGCCCCGAGGTGTCGCGCTGCCCAGTGCCCGCACCGCCGCGGCGGCCCCGGGGTTCGCCCTCCCCGCGCCCGCTCCGCGGAGCTGCGCCCAGTCCACCTTCTTTCCAGCCGTGCCCTTGAGAGCCCGCAGGCTTTAAGACGTTCCCTCCCTACTTGATTTTCCCCACCTCTGGCATGCCCCAACGCCTGTGTCCTTTAGCCGGCGTGATTCTTTTTCTCTCCCCTGAAAGCCTGTCCTGGACCACTAGCAGTCTGCCCTTCCCTGTCAAACCAGAGGCACACGCTCCCTGGGGCAGAGTTGAACCCCGCGGAGGGGGAAAGTTGTGGCGGGTTTGTTTTCTTTGCTCCGATTGGCGTGTAGTGAGCCGAACCGGTGCACGAAGGGTTAAAAAAAAGTGGCCCCAGACTAGTCGATCTCCGGAAGGCGCCCCCTTTCCGTCCGGACCTATCAGCTGGTTCCGCGAGCCCCGGGTCTCTGACTCCCCTAAAAATGTCAGCAGCGCTCAGACAAAACCCGGTTTGGAGACCCTTCAGAAAACCTGCCTCGAAACCCTGAGTGCGTGAGGTCCCTTTGCCAGCGCTGGGTGTCTACATTCCCCAGAGGCAAACTCTTGTAGCCGTGTCCTCTGTGACTTCACCTGGGCTGGTGGAAAGCACAGCTTCATTTGTGTATTTAGAAAGGTTTTACTGCTCACCGAAACCTGCCTTCTGAAAATCGCCAGTGTAGCACAAGCTATTTTTCTTACGGGTTTATCTTCGCCTTTTTCTGTCTTTAGGCGGGGTGCCCCTGCCCTTTGGGATATGTTCTGCCATTGTCTTTGGGGGCATTCTTAAGTCTAGAATAAAGTGAAGAAGGCTGATTTCAAAAAGAAAAGAAGTGGCTTCTCCAAGGGCCATGTTCTCACAAGCAGCTGGTATCCAGCAGACAGGGGAGTGAAATGAGTTATTGTGAAGTGTGGGGAATGGGTAGTTAGTGTATTATTATTTCAAATTAAAAAAAAAAAAAGTATTTAGTGATAACTGAGAGGGTTAAACACTAGGAAGAAGAAAGGTGGGGGGGGGGAACCCCACACTTTAACATTTGTGTATTCCAAATCCCAAGTCTTAAACTTTTCATTGGTTGTCCATTTCTCCTCCCCTTTCGGTGCCCTATATACTTGCTGGCTGCCTGTGTTAATTCTCAGTGTCTTGCCTAAATAGATAATACAGCCATCTTGGTAATTTTATCCTGGGAGTTCTAATTGCAGGGTGGTGCTTTTTGTTTTTAATATTTATTTTTAGTTAGACAAGCCCTGACTCTGACGTGCTGTGCCTTGCTCCCGCGCTGGACGGCCCCTGAGTGTCCGCCCCATGGGTCTAACTCCAGTCATTTGGGCCATCTTTCTTCCGCCGCAGCTTTCCTTCTTGTTTGATAGCAGAACAGATGTAGGGGGTCCTGGCAAGCAGGATGGCTCTATTATGGTCCTCAGGGCACTATCCACAACAGTGGTGATCAATGCACTCCACCCCGTGTCTTCCCCCTGTGGAAGCCCAGCTTTCTGTCTAGGGGTGGAGCCAAGGAGATCCCAGGAATGAAAACTCATTATAATTAGTACAAAAGCATTGAGCAGTTGAGCCAGTTTGCCTTCTGCAGCACATGCAGGAGTTCCCTGGTATTTGGATAGACAGCAAGTGTGTTTCTTGGAACCGGAATACTCAGCCTTCAGTGTTCATGTGCACATGCGCTGAGGCACTGCCTGCATTTCTCAGAACAGAGAACAGGATCGCATGATGGTGTCGGTGGGGAGAGAGCGACTAACCCTGGAGGCCACGCACCCTTTATTCTCTCAAGCAATCCTCAGTCTGAGAAATGAGAAATGGGCTGAAATGGGCCATACCTGGATCATGGTCATCAACAAATTAGAAAAATGCTTAACGCGGCTCTCAAAGTACGACACTGGAATCAATGAGTGATTTCTCCTTTCGATTCTACCCCCCAGTCATCAAATAAACTCTGATAAGTCCAGAATTAAACAAACACCCCCCCTCCCAAAAAAAAAAAACCACTGGGGTTTTACAATTTTCTTAAAGCCTATACTCTACTTGGACATTTAGGAGCAGAAAGCCATAGTTGTAGCAGTTTGGATATTACCGTGCAAGGACTGTGGATAGTCTTATAGAAAGTAGGGTAACTAATTTTCCAGCACTTTTTAGTTCCATTGGAATGTAGTGAACATCTTAGAAGCAAGAAGAGTAAAGAATCATGGCACCATATTTTCATATTTTTAAAAAAGCAAATGGAAAGTACAGCACTGGCTTATATACCAACTTTTCCTCTTGAGGACTTCAAGTTTTAACTCAGCTGTCACCACGCAGACATGGGGAGGGAGAGTGCCTGTCCTTTCTTGCAGGGTATCTGGGGAGGGTCATGAGCTCCCGAGATGAAGGCATGGGAAAGATGGCTAGTCCATTTTTTTTACCACCAACTTATTTGCGTCCACAGAGTGACTTCAGTTCAAGTATTACAAATATGCTCTAATTATACTCAATGAGCTATATATCATTACAGATGGCTGATAGCCCTTTGTAGGACATTTTGTGAAGTTCAGACTAAATATTTTTAGCAATGTGGAGATTTAAAAGTAAAAATATAAGAGATATTGTATATGCCCTCAGGCATATTTGGTCTTAAATATTATCCTTGGCCAAGTGTACTATATAAATACAGAAAATATGAATAGAGCTGGCCAGGCGCCAAGTGCTTAGTATGAATTTTAGTCAAGAATGTATTTATGGGATATAAATAATACTGTGTCAACATTTAAAGAAGAAGTTTGATTAGTTTTGAATTTATTCATATTGATCTTTTCATATGCTGTTAGTTTAAGGCTCAAAGTGGAGTTATGCTAAGGTTTACCGATAGCTTGCCCAGTGGGAATTAGTGGACTTCTAGTAGCTTGACAATCCATTAGAAATTCAATATGCATCTAATCAGAAGACACTGCAGAAAGATTCAGTTTGGGAATGATTTCATTAAATACAGGAAAAATACAAATGATTGACATACAATCTGTGCAGCCTTGAACAACGCAAAAAAGCCAGAGCAAAAGTTTTGCTTTTTTTTCTCTTTGTTGTCAAGTTTGTCAAATTGGGCAGACGTGGTGTTTCTAACTACGTTGACTGTGTACACCCCCCGCCAAACATTTAGCAGTGTTTGGAGACATGTTTGGTGATTTTTGGACCTGGGGGGGGTGGAGGAAGGTCCTGGGTGGAGGACCTGCTGCTGGAAGTCAGTGACAGAAGCTGGGCATATTTCTGATCACCCAGCAGTACACAGGACAGTCGCTGTGTCCCACACATCAAAGAATTCTACAGTCCAGGTTGTCAGTAATTCCCCCGTGAGACACTCTGGTAGCCATGGCATTTATTTCGAGCTACAGAATTCTATTAGTAGTACCATTTTGAAAATCATAAGAAAATATTTTATAACTGACCTATTAAAATGAGAATATGAAATAGAAAAAGAGTCAGAACATGTGGTTGATTAGATAAATACAGATGAGCCAATTTTGTACAAGGTATACTTCATTATTGAGATCTGAAAGCAAAGAAATTGAAAACATCAAAACTTCCCATTCATTTAACCTATGTAATGGTGTTGACTCACCCATCTGTTAGCAGCTTCCGTCAGCAGCAACATGATGTTAATCAGAAGGGAGAAAAAAATAAGGACTTAGGCTTTTCCTTTCAAGTGAAATAAGCAATTTGTGTTCATAAAAAGTAGAATTTTCAGTGTAGACAACTGCAAGAGATCCGTAGTCATGTTTATTTTTTCCATCATAGTGAGTTAGATAAACTTAAATATACAGCCTGGAAATTGCAATGAGGTTCCCTATGTAATTTTTCACATTAATGCTAAATGTGTAATACCAAGAAATCTTCTTTTCTGTTTCCCCTGTAATTTTCCAAGTGAAATTGTGCAATGTAGTATGAATACCAGTGACACTCTGGTTTGGGGGAATGTGACTTAGTATTCTATTCATGACTATTTCCTTTCTATATATGAATTGTCGCCCTGTTGGCCAAGTGCCCAGCGAATGAAAATATTAGCAGTTGCTGGAACGTGGAAGTATTTTGCCTTTATTTTTTTCTAACATTCCCTGCATGGGGGGAGATGGAGGAGGGAAAAGGGAAGAGAATGCTATCAGAGACCTCTTGAAGCTTCTGCGCTTTTGACTTCTAGAGGGATTGAATTAATACACAACAGAAATTGACATCCTTCCCTCCATCCCCTTCTGTGGCTGAGTTAAGGACACGTTCCCCTCTTGGAAGATCTTCTCTGTTTTTACTTTTCAATGAGCAAGAATTTCAAAAAGAAACTTTAAAGAAAACAAAATGGCTAGTCTCTGTTGCCAAGTGAGGCCAGCTTGTTGGTCCCTCTCCTGTGAGCAACTCACCAGCTAGAGACTGACTTTGCAAAGCTGCAGAACCAGGTGAGGCCCACTTGACCTCCCGGAAATGATAAGAAGGGTCTTTGTGCTGTGACTTTTCCCTGGAGAGAGGATGCTGATGCAACTAGTGACAGCATCTTTCGCATACAGATATGAAAGGATGACGTTGCTTTTCCTAGAGAAAACTGAAATGTAAAAAATTTTTTTAAGAAAAGGGGTAGTGACTCACTGTTGAACCCAAATCAACTCTGAGTTACAATTGAGGAGGTCGGTGACTCTGTGACCTTCATCCAGAAATTACAACACATACCAGGCTGTATTTTTAGAAGGTTCTGGAAGATAGAGCAGGGCAGCCTGGCTCTGGGAGTGATAGACATCTCACCATTGGTTTGGGGTGCTGGCCCAGCAGTCTACCCCTTTTAGAAGTTGAGGACTAAGGTGAGCAAGACAGGAGATTGCCTGGAAGAACTCTGAAGATGGCCTTTTCGGCTCTGTGGGTGTAGCATTTCCGGTGCTGACACAGTCCTGGATTGGGGATTTGGA